GCGCAGGGAGGCGGTGAGCGTGTGCAGAGCGGCCCGAATGGAGGACTCGGTGTGTGCGTGCGCGCGAGTGCGCGTGTGTTTGTGCGTGTTTTTCCTGCTTCCCTGGAGGATGTGAAGGGCTTCGCAGCTGGCCCTCCCCTTAGGATTCTTGACTTTTTGGAGCACTGGGCCATGAGCACAATCCACCCACGTAATCCATTTTGTAAGGTCGGTTGATATCTGGAGTAAAAAGCGCAACTGGACGGGGGTGGGGCAGACAAACGAAACCTGGAAATACGCACACACTCACACTAGAAAGAAACAATGAAAGACCTGCGAAGATTTTCATAACCTTCCTGCTGGTCCTTCCATTTTCCGGAAGGATTCGGAACCTTTTCTACCTTTCGAAGTCATGTCGGCGTTTGTTTTTTGTAAGCTGCTCTCCAGCTAGCTGCGTGCGTTTGTGTGTGAGCGCGCCCGCCTATCTGATGCATTTGACTGTCTTTTATCCAACTGCCCAGAAGCAAATGTGTTAACTCCACGTGCCCCTCCGTGCCCGGGTTCCTGAGGAGGGCGGAGGGCGCTCGGACCCATTTTCCACGCTGCATTCGCCGCGGCTACCCGGCTGTGGAACCACGTATGTGGGTCATTTTACCCAGAGGCTTGGGAAGCGCCAGTATTAACCTGCTTTCAGGTACATCGCAAGGTCAACAGAGGGTCCTGCAGTCGTCTTGTTTCTGTGCACCCAGACCTTCCCGTCTTGGCCAGAAGGATACTTACGTTTTGGACCACATCATTTGAAGCCAAAAGTTCAGCCCTTCCAACTGGTTCTGATTCCTGCACAAACAAGGTAACCAGGATAGCTTTTAAAACTGCTTAACAGAATCCCCGACTCTTCCTCAACCCTTTCTCGGCTCTCTCCTCCCCATCAAAATGTCACCAGCTTTTGAATTACGTGGATTTGGGTTGGAGGAGAACTTGAAGGAAACGTGATCTACCGGCTATTCCGGACCAGTCTCTTTGCTGCCCGTGGTCCTTTGGGCATCCAAGCCGATCCTGAGAAGGGCCGGTCCACTCCTTGTGGCCCCCTCCCCGTGTTGTGCTGGGTGTGCTTGTGCAAGTGTGAATACGAGTGCGCGCGCGCCTTCGTGCGAGTGTGTGTGTGTGTGCTTTTGAGTGTGTGTGTCTGAGTGTTCCTGCGCGGCCGCCCTGCCTCTGCCCGCTCCCTGGGCGCAGAAACGCGGGTTTCATGGGGCGATCGCCGCGGATTCCCCACCCAGCGCGACCTGCAGGCATCAGTGGCAGAAGCCGTCTCTCGGACTCCCTAGGATGCAGGTGCTGAGCTATGGCAAAGGGCAGCGAAGTGAAGAGAGAGACCGGCTTAGGACTGTGAAAGCCACCTGGAGCCACCTTGCCGGAATTGTACCTGCGGGCAGAAAGTCCTCCTACGACCGTCTTTTCCTCTAGAGGCACCAGGTAACAAGCAAAGGACTACCCGCCTCACCCAGTTTCCTTATGATCTTGTTTCTACTGTCTTATCTGCATTGCAGGCTACTTTACTTATTAATGTTTTGAAAATCATTAAGAGCTAGGTATCCAAGGGCGTTCCATGATGTTGCATTATAATTCTAGTAGGTGGAATATAAATCTATACCTGAGCACTTAATATAGCAGTGAAAGATAAGGGGATATGCATACGTTCCACCCTAACTGATGTTTTTGGAAAGCTAGGCATTCTGAAGCTATCTGAAGTTGCCAGAGATTAAAATACCATATTTCCTTCAGGTTGTGGTTGTCATGGACCATTTGGTATCTAACCCTCCCCAGATTGTGGAGTGCAAGAAGGTGTTTGGTTTCCACCCATCATTTCAGGCAAGGATCATTTTTGACCCTTCCCTACTTCTGGTGCCAGGTTGATTTTCTTTCCTTATTGTGGCCGAGCTTGCCAGATCCTTTAGTAGTTGTAAATTGCACATTTAGAGACTTTAATCCCAAATGGAGTTTTTTGGGACTTGCTTTGCATGGAAGGGAATTCATTGTCTCGTGTGTGTGTGTGTGTGTGTGTGTGTGTTGTGATATGATTTTTAACTGCAAGGGTTTGCTTTTATGTAGCAAAATCAGTCCCTGAAAGAAGTCATTTGTATATCTGGAGGAGCCAGGCTAAAACCATAACCACCACCCCAACACTGTCCCAGCTGTATTGTCTCAGTTGTAGAGAGGGGCTTGTGTGCCATGGATTTTTTGCTTGTTTGTTTGATTGGTGGGTTTGTGTTTGTCTCTGTATAATATGTAATTTTGAAAATTCCTAATTTACAAGGAATAAGGTGGATTTGTGACTGCCTAATTAACATATTGGGTCTGATATATTAAAATGGAGATCCCCATGAACTTCCAAAGCCCCTTACCCTCACACCTTATTTCTCATTTCTTTTTTTCCATCACCTCCGAATCCCCTACAGAAAATTTCACTTCCTTCTCGAGGGCATTAGGATTAACAAGATAGAGCACTTCCAAAGTCGTCTCATCAATATTTTATTCCATAGTGAAGGTGGTCTGAATAATTCAGCTGAGGAGTGCTCGTTTGTCTCGCGCCTTCCAGAGCTGCCTGATGGCTGCACCCAGCAGAGGGTTTGGCCAGGCCAAGCACAGGGCACCCTGCTCTAAGAGACAGTAACTGGGGTGGCTACCAGGGTTTCTCTTTGCTGAAGCCACTTATAAGAGTGTAGGGGCGCTGCCTACTATTCCCCTCCTCCCTGCGTTTTGATAGATATCCGTATGATGGCATTTGCAGACTACCAGCTGGCCACTAGCTTGCTGCTCTTGCTTGATGTCTCCGACTCCTCTGGAGTCTGGGCTCGGCTGCTGCTGCAACCCTGGCAGGCTGGTGGTGCTACAAAGCCGCGTATGCAGCCGGCTTGGGGGCTGGGCTCCTCCACTGCAGCTGCCAGGCCCTCGTTGACACTCTCTTGGGGCGGGGTGGGAGAGCTCAGCAGGGCCCCTGGCAGACCGCTGGCGCATCACCGCTGAGGTGGCCCCCTGGATGCGAGAGGGAGGAGGTAAAGAGATGTGTGGAGGGCAGTGATGCCCTGTGCCTCCTCCTCCCCAACCCCGTGAATGAATATTCAAGAACATAGAATGAAAGCTCGCTGCAAAAATGCCTTGATATTCAAATAATGTAGGATTTCTCAGGATCAAAAACCTGAAACTGAGTGCATTTTTTCTATATTTCCATTTGTTCATTTCTTTTTTTCCTCTCCTCTCTTCCTCTCCTGGATTTAATCAGCTCATTTATACAGCTGTTTTACCCTCAGTTGGAATACCAATAGAAAGACTACTACACCCCCACCCCCCACCCCATACCTAGTAAAGATGAAGGATACAGGACCACTCTAAAGACAGATTTGCTCTTAACTTCAAGCTCCAGGGAGAACCAAGAAAGGATATAGAGGGTAACTCAGATTTAACAGAAAACCGGGTCCCCACTCTACCTTCTGAAGACTCAGAAAGAAAAGGGTGCTGCTTGTATAAAACTAAAAATAACTGGGAATTTGGGAGAAATTAAGTGACAATTTTTTCATGTTTTTCCCCTCTTTCAGTGAATTTATTGGTATTTCTCCTATCAGAAAATCCTAAACAGGAAACCAAATTGTCTATACTAAAAATCTGACAAGGACACCTCTTTGTCCCCTGCATTTCTCCAAAATATTATTACAACAGAAAGTATGTCATTGGTAATATTGGTTAACAAATAAGGCATATCTGTTTGGAGAGTGCCCAAGGTGGAGAATATAAGTACTTGGGAAAATAATGTTTTCCCTATCTCCCTCCTCATTTCACTTACTTTTTTTTTTTTTCTTTTGGCCTTTACTCACTAAGGATTTAGTCTCAGGGGTTTAGGTGAAATGTCATAACCAAAAAGACCTGCTAGCAGCGAGTTTCATGTATAGAAGTTCCTAAAAAATGTACATTTCTGCCTCTCTTTCCTTTCCCCTTGTCTGGAGACACAGAGATGTGCAAACCAATTTGGAGATCTGAGTCCATGGTGCTTGTTAGAGAGGGCTGGCCTGGCTCACTAACAGGTTAAGACTGTCAGGTATTGACAGGAAATTTCCCAGCAAAATCTTCCTTCCTTGTAAGCCCTCTTATGGTCACTATTAAGAGGGGCAGAGTAATAAGAAAGTCAGGACACCCATGGGAGCAGATGTGAGCACATAGGCAGGCGGAAAGAAGTTGTTACTTGACTCCTGTCTCCCAGTCTATTTCTTTTTGTCATTATTTTCCCCTTTCTTTTTTCAAGAAGGGAATGACCTTGAGCAACACCAGTCTTCTGTGCTTCATACACAGCTTTTCCTCCCTCAAGCATGTGATGTATACATATATGAACACACACACCTCATTTTTGAAATATGAGATTTCTGTGCTTGTGTGTTTTGGGAGGGGTTCATCAAGATATATCTGACAGATATCAGCCAGAGGTGATTTTCTTTCCTTTTTCTCAAGAGGGGATAGCAACAGCTGTGATCACTTGAGGGAAAATTGCCCCACCCTTATCCCCTCTTCTATTATTTTTGTCTCCTCTGTCATTAAATGTATTCTTAGTGCTTTAATGTATTCTTAAAGCACTATCTTGTTACAGCATTGTTGTTTAAATGACCATCATATGTTATATCTGCCTTTTTATCTTTTCATGAATGACCATCAGTTCTCTTGGTTCATTTAAACCAGTGCTCTGTTTCCTCCTGCTGCTTGAAGCACTTTTGGCTTTGTAGTTTTGCTGAGTTTTCTAGCTGGTGAAATTAGGATCTTGCTTTCTGCTGATACTATTGCTGTGTTATGTGGTTGGGATGAAATGCTTGCAAATATCTACCAAGGTTCCTGCTTCTACGTGAAACTACTACATAATAGCTCATAAGTACTCAGTTCTTTTAAAATATATTTATAATAAAAATTGCTAATATGTTTTGTGTGTGTGTGTATGTGCGTGTGCCAATTTTGGGGTTGGAGAACGCAGGCTACTTGAAACTTTCTAAAGGCTTAACTGACTAATCTATTAACTAATTCCAGTGTTTTTAATTTCCTCTTTACTCAGAAATGTAATATATCTGCAATGCTTTCAGAGTTTTGTGTATAATGTAGTCAGTTCTAAGTTTTATGTTTCATTGAAGCATAAAATACAAATTTAAGCTTTTAAATAGATGTGATTGTGACCCTGTCGGATACCTGAGTAACAGGGAATTTTGCTAAATCATTCCATTGACACAAGTGCATAGCTTTGCCTTGTTCAGTGAATTTAGAGAGTGAGACTACTCATTATATTTCTACAGCCCACATTTTTATTCCTGTGGCATCCTTTAATCACTGAGGACTATTTAAAACCTAAGGCAGTATAATTTGTCCATTACATGGTGTGTGCATGGTGAAATTAAGAAGTATTATGTTTATAAGTATTGAAGCTATTCTGGTTAGAGGTGAACCATTTTTATTACACTCTATCAACATAAATTGTATGTAATTAAGAAAACCCCAGTTTTATATAAGTGTAAAAAGATAAAGAAATATAAGAATTTAATTCAAAGTTGGTTAATGCTATATTTAAGCTTTTACATCACAGTGCTCTGATAGATAACTGTTCTGATAGAGTGCTGTTTACTGAACTGTGACATAATTTAATACTAATTATTAAGATGATTAACAAGTTATAGAATATTACACCGAAGGTACATGATTACATAAATGCACTACCATTTTACTGATACCATATAAAACACATGAAAAGGCTTTATTATTAAAATGACAAACTATTTTTGTAAGATTCTTGGAAATTGGCTTTGATTGTGAAGCTACAAACTCGATCACCTTGGGAGGAAAATGCCAATTGATTAACTTGGGTCTTCCTCGAAAATACATTTTTTATGGGAGAAATCTGTTTAATTTTCACTGTCATGCTCTTTTTTTTTCTTTGTGGCAGCATATATGTAATTCATTGCTTTAAAAAACCTTCCAGTGAACTATTTTGAAATTGATATTATTATAGGCCTTGTGAAGAACAATTGCAGAATTGCCATTCAATAATGCATCTATTTTAGCTTCGACAGAAAGGCTCTAAAAGAAGCAATAAGATACACAAAGTTACAGGATCCCTTTTTCCCACCTCTGGGAACAGTTTCTTAATTCTTAGAAAAAGAATGAAAGAAAACACTAATTAGATCAATATATACACAATTAGAAGCATTGTATTTTTTTCAGGGAATAAAAGCCCACCCAGTGTTGTTTATGTTACTGTATTTTCACTTTGCCTTGCTTCGTTCTTTCGAGGAAATGCTGAGGAGTGCAGGACACACACCGGTTGCCCTCTAGATTCCATTCCCCACGTTGGTTTCTCATTTCCTCTCTAAAAGTAGGTTTTTCATGAATCTTAGTAATGTCACTTCCAAAGCTATAGGATGTTTAATCACTTAAATCACTTTAAGTGATTT